GGGAAAGAGAGAATGTCAGGTTGTTTTATATCAGAGGATGCCCATATATAGCAATCAAAACACACACCTTCAACTTTGTCTTCATGGACCCCAATTCTTCAAGCGCAGGGGTGTCAAACATAAGGCCCATGGGGTACAGAGCTCTGCTGGGGATGCTTCTCAGTGGGGTGAGCAATGGCTGCATTAGCCCATGTGGCTCCCCAACACTGCTCGCTCTGCTGCGGCTTGCCCCGCTACTAGAAGTAGATCCAGATCTGTCCAGTGAGAAGCCACGTAGTCCACATTCAGCCCAGGGAGCCAAGTGCATTTGACATCCCTGCACAAGAGAATAATTTAGAAATGCTGCAGTTGGCTGGGAGGTACACCTCCAATAAATAAAAGGACAGAAGTGGTAGGTGTTTGACCAGGGGAGGGAAGGGAGTTACAGCCACCCCCTGAAATTAGAAACAGTCTTGAAGACTCTAGCTCTTTTCAAAATCATACATAAACATGGAAACCAGTATTTAGCAGTAGCTACAGTTTTAACTCTAGTTAAATAGGAAAAGGAAGGCAAGTCAGCTGAAGATTATGCTCTGTCCCTGTTATATGCAGTTATATCTGAGGAGAAAAATTCTTCATTCTGACTTTCAAAAATAGAAAGGGGTGTATATGTGAGAAAATATGGAAATTTCCAATTCAGACATATGGTAGTGGCAAAACTTTGCTACAAATGGAACAAACTGCCAGCCTGTACTCTAAGGAGATATTCTTAACAAACAAAAATCTTAAGGGTAATTTATAAAAGAAATAAGGTAAACCACAGAGTTCAGAGTGGAGTCTTGGAAGCGACTAGAAAGAAGGAAAAAAAACCCCACCAACATGAAAGTACACTGAGAGTAAACCAGTTTAAGCTGAATCAGTCTGCAATTTCAATAGTGATGGGAGAGCTGCAATTCCAATATTCATCTAAGCAAATAAGCTCTAAGATGCAAAAAAAAAAAATCAACTTCCAAGATCAAATACAGAAACTAGTCTGATAATATTTCTTGTAGTTTTCCCTATTCCGAAAGCTAAACTACATACAAAAGTGAAGTGCTACTGAAATAACTTGCAATTGAAACAAGGAATGTTTATAGTATGACTGGCAAGCTAGTATGGAATTGTGGTGTCATCACTGGAAGTCTTGCATATCCAGTGCCTACTTGTGCAACATTTAATGTAAGATCACATAATAGGACCTTAAGCATTTGCCCCCCCCCCCCGTTCTTGTGTATCAGCTCCCAAATGAAGAACTTCATTTTCCAAAGTCTGAGGAATATGATTCATTACATACATGACAGCATGAACAGCCCCTAAGTAAAATCACATTACATTTTCTACGTTTATTTTTCAAAATATGAGAAGTGGGAATTGCATTTCCCTACTGTGTATAGTTTAATGAGGATTTAAACCTGATGGCTAAAAAGGGATGTGAATAGATTAACAATATTGCAGCTAATTATATCTTGAGTAGAGTCATAGCTAAATAGTTTTCAAGAGGAGACTTTCTATGAGAAATGTCTATTTTTAGAAACTAAAGAGTTTAAGAATCAGTCCATGACTAGGACTTGTCAAGGCTAAAGATATGATTAAACTGTCAGTTGCAAAAGAAAAGGATCACTACTTATTCTTCAAAATCTGAGTGTCATTTTTAGATACAGAAGGACTATCTAGCTCAAATATAGGCACTAATCTGACAAATAAATTAGGGCAACGTTATCCAGCTGGCAGCCTCTGGGCCACATGCAGCCTGCGAGCAGTTAAGTTGCTGCCCTCAGGCTCCTGCTGAGCCACTGCTTCACCTGTTGCTCTGGCTGTGATAGCAGCCAGGGTTTCCAGGTTCCCCTATCCCTCCTCTGAGTGATGCTTTCTGCCCTTGTCCCAGGGGTTGGGGCAATGCAATCCAGCACAGACTGAAGGTGACTCTAAGCCATTCAGGGAGATCACATCTGAACAAGGCAATGGTGGGTGGGGAGCCTGGTGCACCAGTGGGGGTGGAGGGATGCCCAAAAGAGCAGTTGTAGCAGAGAGGATGGGAAGGGATCGTGCTCACACGGTGCAGCAGGAAAGCAAGGAGGGAGGTTGGACAGATGCTTCATGTGGACCATCATCCACATGGTCTGGTGGCCTGTGGCTTGACTGGTACAGCCTGTGAACCCCAGGGGCTTAGAAGTAGGATAGCCCTGAATTAAGGCATTCTAGGGTGACCCACCAAGGGACAGGATGTCCAACAACAATAAGTAAGACTAATGCTTTAATAAGGGGGTCCCCTATGGTTCAGTGGTAGAATCCTTGTCTGCCACACAGGAGACCTGGGTTCAATTCCAAGACATAAATACAGCCATGGAGGACCCAAAGGTCTGGACCCAGTCTGGCCTTTGAATTCTGTCTCAGTGACTTGAAGGGGGGGATGGAAGGTCTGGGCAGCCTCCACTCCTCCAAAAACTCCGTCCTAGGCATATATATCAAAGGTCTGGGTGACCTCTCATGCATACACCATGGTCTGGAAGGATCAATGGTTGCCAAACTAAACAAACTAATGCTTTAATGTTGAGAACACAGTTAGTGCCTAAAAAGGTATGCATGGAACTATGTAGATGGACATTGTTTTTTGGGGGTTTTTTTTGCAGAAGATCTCTCTTCTGAGTAGACAAGCCTTAAGGCCAGGTTGTAAAAAAGAAAAATGAAGATAAGTCATTAGACATAAATTTACTGGCTAGCAAAGGCTGCTGGCAGATTCCAAAAGAAAATAGAGGGTGGTCATTTGCCTGTTCAAGGGGAAAAAATAATTAAAATCAAAACTGGACATTTGATACCTCTATACTTCTTCAAAGGCTATTTCCATAAATACTATGTAGTTAAAAGAAATTTAAGATAGGTTCTTAGGGTCAACAACTGTACACTGGCACCACCTGAAAGTGCCCATGTGGAAAATAGCATTAAGCATATTTTGAGATGGGATGAAGAATGCATGCAAGAGATAAACAGTATACACGGTGCTGGACAGAGGATGCTGACCACAGCCCACAGCCTGACACTGCTTTGGATATTACCTCTCAAGTTTATTGGGTGGAAGTCTGAGCTGCTGTGAAAATCCTTTTCAAGTACATGCTGTCTAGGAAAGGAAGCTTCTAGCACTTGAGGTGCCGAACTGAAATGTGGCAATACTCAGTCCAGTAGCACAGCTTTCCAGAGCGGAAGTCCTCATGTACCAGTGGCTTTCCAAACAATGGCTCACAGCTACGTTGAGCCTAGCTCCCTCACCAATCATACCAATAAAGGCTGTATTAATTTAATGTGGGAATGGCCCAGCATCAAGGAAACATTCTTAAAAAGATACTCAGTCTCAAGATAGAAGATGCAGGTTTTACAATCTTAATGGACATTCCCATAAAAATTTCCCAGTGCATCATTGCAGACAGGTTTCCTGACAGCAAGTCAGGAAGCACATCCAACTAAGCATTGCTTCAGGCTACTACCGAGTGTGGTAACAAATACAACCCTTCAAGCAGCCATCCATTACAATTTCAGCATATAGATTTTCACTGTTATGTCCTAACAGTATACACAATATACACATTCTTTGACTTGGAAGAGGACTTGTACTTGCTACACCAGAATCACAAAGGAAACTAAACCGACTGCATGCAGCCCTCAGTGGTAGACACGCAACTCTCAGGCTCCCACCTGGCCACTGCTGCTGTTACTGCTCTGGCTGAGGCAGCTGCTGGGATCTTGGGGTTCCCACTCCCTCCTCTGGCCTCTGCTGCTTGACCCAACCCAAGAGAGAGGGATGAAGTGGGGTAGCTCAACACAGCCCACAGTGCTTGGGTGGGGGGGCATCACCCAGAATGCCTGGGCAGCATAGTGCAGTGGGAGAGCCCACAGCCAGACACCCAAAGGTGAGGTAGGATGCTGCATGCACTGCAAAGGGGGCCAGCCCGTGTGGTGCAGGAGCATCCATGTACACAATGAGAGGGAGGGGAAGCACTTGCACACATGCAGCATGTAGCCTGGGGATCTGTGGACCCTACGGCTTGCAGATGCCACTGGTGCAGCCCATGCAGCATTCTAAGCTCCTGGCTGCTTAGAAGTTGTACAGCCCTGCTTCAGAGGATGCAAATCATTTCTTTTTTCCTCTTGTACTTTTGGACAAATACATTTAATATCACAAGATTTCTCCATATTTTGTTAAGCCTCTTGCTGTCCACTTCTCCCTCAAACACTGAATCCCCTCCATATATACACAAGAACACCGACTAAACCAGAGCAGATATTAGCGTAGCTGGAATTAAGACCCTGTGAGCTGCACCGAGACCATTCTACTGATGGGCTTTCACAATTCCACTGTGTACATTTTTTATTTTTTTAAAAGTACATGGTGGCAGAAAGACTGCTATCAGTATTTAACAGTGAATTAACTACAGGCATCAATCTACACAGACATCAAATTGTTATAGCAAGGCATTAAAGGCAAGTCTGTACCACTCACTGCAGCTGGCAGCAGTGTGCTAAAATATGCCATGTACACTACCTCCCACATCAAAAGTGGTCTAGTTGCATTAGTGTACCAACTACCTCTACCTCCTGTGATAAACTGATAGTTATCCCCTCTCCCCCTCACCAGCAGCACAAAAATTGCCACACTACCCTCAGTTCAACAGGTAGTGCACACAGAACAGTCCAGACTTTCACCATGGCACCATGTAGCACAGGGGTGGGCAATTATTTCAGGCAGAGGGTCGCTTACTGAGTTTTGGCAAGCCATCAAGGGCCGCATGACAGGCAGTCAGGGGGAGATAAACATTAATTTTCTAAATTTTTTTAGGGGTCCCATAGGACGGATAGAATGGCCTGGCAGGCTGCATCCGGCCCACAGGCCATATTTTGCCCACCCCTGACATAGCAGGTAAGTGATCAGCATAGACATTAGGGCTGTGCGAAACAGCAGTGCTCTGCTTCTATTCCATCGAAACGAAAGTAGTGTTTCAGTTCAAGTTCTGCTTCATTTCGAAAGCACTGTTCCATTCCATTTCGCTGAAACAGTTTTGCTGTTTCGACATTTCGCCCATAGGCTATAATGGGGAAGCACGAAAAAGCCTGTAACTTTGTCATTTCTTGCCCGATTCCAATGAAACTTGCAGGGGTGGTAGCCCCTTCTGAGGGCATGAAGCCTGCCAAGTTTCAAGATTGGTGCAGGGGTCTCTAGGAAACTGAACCTCTGGCTGCTGCCAAGCAGGAGCCGGGGAGCAGGAACAGTGTCCTGTGAGTCAGCAGGCAGATCGGGGCCTGCACTCCCAGGAGGAGTCCGGCAGAGCCCCTGCAGCCCTCCCAGGAGTGCAGGCAAGCCACCAATCTGCCTGCCGGATCACAAGTCACTGCTCCTGCCACTAGGGACCCAGCGCTGGGGAACTCAGCCCAGCTGGGGGAAGCACCTCCTCCAGCCGGGCTGAGTTCCTAGCCCCTCAGTGCTGGGGAACTCAGTCCGGCTGGGGGAAGCGCCTCCTGCTGCTGGGCTCGGTTCCCAGAGGCTCGCAGCGCTGAGAACTCGGCGCGGTTGTGGGTGAAGCGCCTCCTTCAGTCAAGTCAAGATCCCAGCAGCTCGCAGTGCTGGGGGAAGTCACCATTAAAACCAAACATGCTGGACAGGCAACAGCAGAAAATTATGCTACCAGTTCACGTACTTTTACTACGCCAACCTTTGTTGCATCAGACTCCTTATGACAGTTTGGGAGACTATTTGGATTTGAAACCTAAACCATTTAAACATGACCATGTTTTCAGGAGACATTTGGGGAAAAACCAAGAAGTATTGTGGGGACTTGAGCTATGTTTTCAAATTGCTATGGCAATCCATGCATGCACACAGACAAGACAATGCAGATAATGAATTTGGAGAATTCTAAGTGAGAGTAAAGCATCTAGATTGCCTTGCTGCTTTTCATAAGTGTGTAAGGGGAATTTATAGTGTAAGTGATAGGGGTGGGGGAACCACCCTCAGACACACCTTCTGATCAAACTTAGTCTTGGATATTTGCACAATTCAGCCTCTGTCTCCATTTTTAAATTGTCAGCCAAGAAAAGATCAAGTAGGAGTACGTTAAGGTACAAAGCTGAATATTGACAGATTATACATCTATTAAACAAGCAAGCCAAAAAATTATGGGACTAAAGGAAACACGTACAGGAAGTTACATTAGTAAGAACACACAAGTATAAATCATACCATAACTGGAAGTACAAGGAATATCACAATTATATAAATTCATTAGTTCATAATAGAACTTTAGTCCTTTGGAAGTATAAAAGCAGGAACAGAAAGTCAAGAAAATGTTCTTGAAGGCAGAGATTCCTCTTTGTACAACGCTTGCTAAAAAGAGATACCTATCCTGACTGGGGACTTTTATATGCTACTGTAAAATTATAACCACTATCTGTTTTTGGGTAAAGTACATGAACCTCAAAACAGATTTAAAAACAATAAATTTTGCTCTAACCAACCATGATGGTTGACACTCTGCAAAAGTGCTTCTCACAGCTTAATTTAAATGTTAAAAATATACTTACTGGTCTTTCAAGAACTACCGGATGATCAGGAAGAAAGTCTGGCTTCTTCTGCGAGTGTGAAACACTTGCGAGCTTTAAGAGGAAGTCCCTACTGTATTGAATTCTTTCTGTAAACATACATAGGTATACAAATGATTAGGTAATTAAGTTATCTGAACATCTGTTAATAATTCTGCATTTACTAATTTGAATGTTTAACTTAGCTTTTATAAAAAGGTGCCTGAAGAATTGTCATTGTGAATAATGTTTCAATCACTCTTAAAATAACAATTAGAAATACCCCAAGATAACCAGCTTTTCAAAGAACAATGCAGAGCTATAGATGTTTAATGGTTCAAATCTAAAATGAATGTGGCATGTAGCAGTCCCAGATCTTGTACTGGGGTGAATTTGTGGGAGTGTTCACTAACAAAGTACACAGACCAATCCAGAATTGGCTAACTATCCATTACACATGAGTAGAGAGAGGTAGCTAGCTATGTTAATCTGACGTTCGGTAAAAAGCAGGGCAGTGTAGCACCTGGACAGACTCATTCATGGAGAGGCATGAGCTTTTGTAGGCTATAACCTATTTCATCAGATGCTATGAATAGACTTGCAAAGAGTATGGGTACTAAATACGGTAGAAAGAAATTAGTTCATTTAAAAGCAAAGGAAATGGGAAGGAAACCCACCACAAAGCTTTTATAACCTCCTATGTCCCTCAATGGGTTAACTGCTTTGTTTATCCTTTTTGATCTCTTTAACTCACATTCACCTCTTTCATGCCCCCTCCTTTCTTCCCCATTTCCCTATCATTTGTATAATGATATTCATAATTCTGAAAGAACTGGCACTTAAATCACAGATCATTATTAAAGGATGTTAATAAATTTATCAAGTAGGGGATGGTAACATGAAACTGTTAACACAGCATCTCTAAGAGAGAAATCCAAGCAATCAGAGACCTGCTAGTCTAATAGTATGCAAGTGTTCAGAACACATTATGAATATGGACCTACTGAAATTGCTGTTTCACAGAAACCGTGAAATTGGGCAATGCTTGAGAAATCCGGGGGGGGGGGACACTTCTAAAAATAAAATGCTGGGCCCCCCCAGAGGGGAAACATCATGAAGAGCACCTAAGATGGCTCTCACCTCCACCCCTTGCCACTGATTAGCTGAGGGTGGCAAGGGGTAGGTCCACATGAAGGGCAGCCCTCGCAACCAGTCAGCAGCAAGGGTAACTGGGGCCCCTTGGCCAGAAGCGTAGGGGGAGGTGGGCTGCCAGGATCAGCCCATAAAAGTGCTGGCCAGCCCTGTAATCTCCCCACAAAATTGGCCAGCTGCCTCCTCAAGTTGGGTGAACCCCTAATTATGAATGGAATGAATAAAATCATGGAGGTAAATGGAAAAATGGGTGGAATTGCAACATGCGTCTACCAAAGGAAGATCATGCCAGATTAATTTGATATTTCTTAGAAAAAAGAAATTTAGAATATTTCATCTAACCAGTAAACATTTGGTATGGTGCCAAATAAGGATTATGGTCATTAAGATGGAAATTACTGAATAATTACTATAAAGCAGGTAAGGAATACTGTAATGCAGGCAGAGGACTAGGAGGGTGATCAGAAAAATGGACAGCAGCCACGCCTACATGAGCTAGTAATGAGCTACTGCAGTCAGTGTCACCTAAAAGCCATTCGGCAACACTACTGCACTATTACTGCGCAGTCATTTAGTATTTGTTTATACAAGTACTAAATGACTGCACAGTCAGTGTCTCATGTAGACACGGCCAGCCAATATCTATCTTACTGAGGTGAGGCTAAAAAACCTTGGCCTGTTTAGCTGTTGGTAGGGGAATATAGTTATTCTATAAATGAGAGAGAAATATCAGAGAGGGTAAAAAAGTATTTACACCAGATGACAATATTAATACAAGACCAAATTGCCAAAAGTGAGTTTTGTTTAGAAATAAAAAGGTTTCAAAACAGAAAAATAAGGTTCTAAAACAGCTTTCCAATAAGAACAGTAGGGGCAAACAACATGGAACATAAAGGCCGAACTTGATTTTATAAAAAAAATAATTGCAGGCAATCATGTACAATAGTAAGATACTCTTCAACTCAGACTTATTCTAGACCTGCGTTTCTAGGTACTGGTCAAGCATGCCAGAAGATCCATATCAGCGTAGCTGTACTATTATACACACACCACTTCCAAAGTCTTGATATATAACATTATTACATTAAAATACCAAATTATTGAAGTGAGACTTTCACATCATTCCTGATTTGGAAGGAAGCCATCACTTCATGAAGCAGAAGCAAGTATTTGAAACAAAAATATGTAATTCACAACTCCTTAGAATTAATATTTTCGCTCCATCTTACAAGTCAGTAATTCATACACTGATCTGGGCTTACCTTTTTTAGATTCAACCTCATGCTGTTCTGCATGATTACTTTCAATCATTCCAGGAGACTCACACCACTGGGAAAAAAAAGTGAAAAGAAGAGATACAAATTATTCAAAGTTTTAGAAGCATTTCACATAAAATGCATTATATGAAGATCTGGTGTTCTCTCACAAAATGTAAGGATACGCTATTCAAAGTAAAACTGATATTGAAATTAATTATGGCAAAGTCAAGTTTACATCTACTGTTATATATTGTTCACTTGAGATTGCTCATAACTTTCCATGCTGTATAACAGCTAGAGGAAAAACTAGACAAGCAATTCATTTTCTAGCAGAATTCAAGCAATGAGGTTTATGCAAACTGAAGAACAGGTTTGTATAAGTGGAACTGGGCCAGCATCTGCACCAGTGACTTTTTTAAACTATAGTCAGGAGTGGTGGAGATATACCAGTGGTTATCACCAGCAGAATCTGTAGCACATACATAACTGACCAAGAGCCACAAGAAAGGTGAACTGCAGTTACAAATTTTGCAAACATAGATAACCCTGAATGGCTTATTTTGACTCACAACCTTAGTGACTACTTCCTACATTGAGGCTGCTGACCGACATTCATTTAAGGCATGACAGAATCTGATCTAACAGGTGTGCTTCTGCTATGCATGTAGCATGGCAGAATGGGCAATTTTGGGATCAGGGATCAGACCCAAATCACGCCATACTTGCCAACACTGGGGCAGACTGGGATTTTGATCCTGGTCTCGTCCCCTGGCTGAGCTGACAGCAGATTACCAGGCACCTGGCCTTTAATTTGCCAGTGCAGGGGGAAAACACCAGGTTGACAAATACCTGATTGTTAGCCTAGCAGGAACCACACTGTGGCTAGTTCCAGACCCTTGTGCAGTCCCAGGCCCAGCCAATTAACCCAGCCCAACACACAGTTCCTCTGCTCCCTGCGCTGGTGGTCCAATTTGAGCTGCAATAATTCAGAATGCATTATTCCTAAACCATCCCAAAGTTATCCAGTCTCTTCTTGGAAATCTTCAATTTTCCTGGACAACTTGTAAGAACAGCCAAAGGACATAGTTAGGATGTGTTTCCTGTGATTTAATCTGTCACCTCTACTGCAATTTTAACCCATTGCTTCATGGCCTACCTTCTGTAGCAGGGGAGAATGGTTCCTACTTCTCTTTATGGCAGATTTTCAAATATATGAAAACTGTTGTCATTACTCCCACTTTCCTTTACCTCTCTTTGAAAAATGAAACGCCTACACAGATGGCATAATTCATGTTCCAATTGTACCATAAATTGCAACATAACACATTTTTAACCAATTTATAGTGCAATAAAATGGCAAGACAGACACAGAGATGTTCTACATACAATGCAGAACATCTTTATGGCCGATTTGCATGGAACCTTAAATTAAACAAATGGCATGAATCCCAGAACTAGGGCTGCCCTGGTCTGAATGCCAACATTCATCTGAAAACCAGGCCCTGCACATTTGCAGTCTTCTGGGCTGCCTGGGCACAGAGTTGGGAGGGGATGAAAGCAGGGAGAGGTGGAACTGCTGGCAGAGATGAGGGATTGACAGCTCACAGCAGCAGCCAGGCTATAAAGCATCCAGCATGCTACTCTAAAAGGTTGCCTAGGGCACAGAAGTTATGACACTGGCCTAGCAAGAAGGGGCAAAAGCAAAAGCCACAAAAAACAGCATGCATACATTTTACTGGAGCTGCTGGCACCCTTCTGGTTATGCAATAGTAAGCAAAGGGACAAACAGAACACTGCTAGCTCAAGATCAAAGGAGAACTGAAGTACCTCTCTATCTATCTTCCCAAGTCACATTTTTCCTCATCTGTCCCTCAGAATGTAAAGCAAATGCTGCTTTCCAACAAATACAATAATGTGGTTCTGAATTCAGGAGGCACAGAAAAATATTCACTTGACCAACATTTTGGATGCATATGGGGAGAAATTTTAATCCAGATTTTATGTCTGCTGCCTCAAATGCACTGAATACATTTCTACATGAAAAGGAATACAAGAACTCCTGCCACTGCTTATTAAGTGCAAAATACGGAAAAAGTGAGCAAGGTAAATGAGCATTTGTTACCTATATGTAGTTGAGAATTAACAGAACAAGCTACTGGAGATAAACTTTATGAAGCTTAAAGAAAAGCCACATTTGAAAGTCACTGTTACCTCTTATGGAGATGCATTTTTCAGGCCTTAGTGCACATGTACCAAGAAAATACAAAATTTCATTTCAACATTTCAAGGACTACTCTTAACAATCAAATGAAAGAACAAGACTCACTGTGAAGAGCTTACACTTACAACTGAATAATCTGATGGCACATTTCATTGTCAATTTATGGTATTCTTTTATCAGTTCTTCATAGACTTAGCAATTTACAATTGTTTTTATTGTATCCACTTAATTAGATGCTTACCCAACTACTGTCACTACGTAAGCATACTTGAGTGTTGCATGCAAATTCACTTTTTAAGTTGAAATTAATAGTTGAAGCTGTTGGAACAAGAGTAAGCAAAAAGTCAACTGTCCATTTAGAACACTATCTTAAAGACATTTGTGTGCAAATACCCAGTAGCAAAGTCAAACAACAGAGAAAGATCCAAATGTTTTGTTTTGTATTAGTTACCGTACAGGTGCTTTACTACCTAGTTAAGCACCAGATAAATAGGTCCCATTTCTTTCAACATCTTTGTCATGTAATGCATTTATTCGGCGGCTGCCGTCCACAGTAACATTTCAGCATTTATCCCTAGCCAATGCAATAATTCTATTTATTATTTGCATTATCATAGCAACTAGTTGCCTAATCATAAATCAGGAATCAACTAGGTGTTGTAGACCAGTGGTTCCCAAACTTTTTTTTCACCTCAGCCTGGCAGGAGTGGAATAGGTTGTGCGGAGCTGGATGCCTCCCTCCCGGGGCTCCCCTGCCCCCCCCGGCTTTAACCCCGATAGCTCAGCAGTGACCCCGGAAGCTGCTCACCCAAGTGGACAGATGGGGGTGCAAGCAGGGGTTTCGTGCCACAACCCAGCAGCCAACCTGCTGCAGCCTGGTACCGGGCCACGGCCCAGTGGTTGGGAACCTCAGTTGTAGACAACAGCAAAAAAAAAGATGGTACCTGCCACAGCTACTATGCAGTTATGCCTTCAATAAGTATGAAATTATAATGTCATATCTATTTCACTCAATTTTTTTTCCAGCAAAATCTTTTATTACCAAGATAGAATTAGTTCAGCTTACATAATGTATACAACAACCTGACATTCTTCAGTTATTTTTGCACAAAGGATGACAGTACTTGTATCTGGACATCATTTTTTCCTGCTTCATTTGGAGACAGAGAGGAAAGGCTGAGCAGAAGTTCATATGTAGGCAGACAGGGATTAGTGGAAGATAATGCAGTATTCTGACCTCAAAACTACACAGATAACCTTGGAGAATCCTAAAATGGACTTTAAGAGTGAATCAAAAAACTCTCACCTAAATAAATCCTTGAATGCCCAAGGCTTTGTAAATACCCAATAAGTTTAAGTTTTCAGCAGTAAAAGCATGTGCCACTACTACATATGCACAAAAAGCTCAGCACCTACTTCATATTTAACCCTGATGAAGATTTACAAAGCACGTTTTCCTGAGACAAAGTTCATCATGGCCCAAATTTGTCAAGCATGCTCAACAGACACCTACCACATACCAACAAGTTCAGCACAAAACACAGCAGTCCTGCCACTTTCATTTAAGACCATGACCAGAGAATAACAGCCTAGAGCCTAGGATGCCCATACAGGAAGTGAGACAGGATTCTAGGCCCTTATCAGTTTAAGAGGGTTCAAATATATATTTTCTGCCTCTCAGAAGGATGCTCCAACCATCAAGCTAGAAGCAAAACTATGACAGAATGGAGAGTATGCCCTTCTGTTGAAATTATGGCAAAGCGTAATAAAGAATCCAAGACTCACGGGGCTAAAGAGTGCAAGGAGGACTAAGCCAAATCTAAAAAGGGCACTCTTCTGTGAGGCAGAGATCTGGATTACAGTGCCTGCTCCCAATAATGTTTATTTTATCTAATAACTGTTTAATTACAAAATGCATAGGTAGCCTTGTATGGGAGTTCAGCTACAACAAAACGGGGCAGGGTAACAGAAGTGTCACCAAGCCTAGCCTATAGTCTTGTGGTTAAGGAACTCTCCTGCAAAGAGAGAGATGGGTTTGAAACCCCTCTGGCTAAGGAAAGAGAGACTTGGTTGTTAGGTCTACTTCATGGACAAATACTTACATCTTTAAATTACAGCCCAGCTACCAGAACCACTGCCTCTTCTTCAACACCTGTGTTTCAATATGAAAAGTGAGCTAGTCGCCCAAATCAAAAAGTAGGACTGAAGTCCAAGTCCAGTGAATGCCAGTCATATGTAGGCACTTGTCTCAGGGCAGATATACCCTTCTTTTCAACGTTTCCCATTGGTTAATTTTGTCATTTTCTAGCTCAGTGCATTTCCCTTCCTATCTGCCCAACCTTCTCTGTGCATTGTATAGAAAGTTAATATCCCAGTTTGGTGTTAGGAGTTTTGTTTCAGGAGCTGGGTGTCTAAGAGTTTGGCATGACAATGCTCTATGTCAAAACACTCAAGTCACCGTATGGATTAGGACTATTATTTTTACCTGAACTCAAAGCTCTGTTGACACAGAGATTCACAATCTACAAAAGTTTTTGGAAATGAAGTAAAAAACTAGCAGTCTGGTCAAGGTGTATTTCAGATCATGCTGGAGTGAAAAAATAAAGCTATGTGGAGTGGGTGTGGGAGAGGGGAAGAACAGGGAAGAAAAGGCCCCTTGTTTTATCTGGATTGGCAGGCCTCATCTTTAAACCACCACAGTTTGTTACACTGGCTTTGAAATAAAGGTGCATTTTAAAACCGATTTAGAGTCACCAATTTATTTTAAGAGGTTCACATCCATGCATGGAAATCGGGAAAAAAAATCAAATACTTCAATTACAACAACAGGGTTAAGTCTAAATTATTATTTGGACTGATTTTCCTCTCCCCACCCCTGGTGTTCATAAAATATGTGCACCTGTTTAACTAAATCAGATGGAAAGCTACATATGTAGTCTAAGCTAGAGCATTTTTACAGTTCAGTAATTCTTAGATGATACAATCCAGGTCCAAAACATTCTTACTTATATTTTCAAAGAGTGAAAAAAATTAGCATTCCCATTGCAACTTTCCATATGCAACTAAAAATATATATATATATGGGGAAAGGGGGAAGCATGAACCAGTTTTCTTACACCTAACCTTTGGGGGCTTCAGCATAGCCAGTATGCAACTCAGCATGCAGGCTACTCTCTAAAATGGTTCTCATCTTTGTTATGCTCAAGCCACCCCTCAGAAAATGCCAGGTCCTAGCTTTAATTTGTTTCTTGAGAAGGAAAGGAAAGGAAGGAAAAATATTACAAAGAAATCACAAAGATCAGAGCAGGGTAGAATTTTTTTTAAACTTAAGGATTCCTATTTAAACATTTCTGGATGGAAACAGATGTCACTTTGTGCCATGGCAACACAAAGTGAAAGCAAACAGATATTCATACCTTCTGTTGCACCACAAATGCTCGCATTTGTACCCAGGGCAAAAGGTAGTAACAAATTGGGCTGCTTTATTGCCTCCCATGTGTTTCTTTATGACGGAAGAGCCTGGGCAGCATGCCTCAGTATGTCTCTTCAATCTCAAATTAAAATCCAGAACCAATTTGTAAATAAATTTGGTCTTTAGAGAACTAGCCAGGCACACAAGAGTTTGCAAATGTTTTGCTAAACCTGGTCTAGTTAATGATGTGATAGTTTTAATATGGTTTTGCTATAGTTTTTAGAATAATATTTGTATGACCTAGAGCATGAGCATGTCAATGAAAATGTTCCCATTTAAACCCACAAATAAAAGCTACAATTTCCCCACAGCCAGCTTTTAAACTATTGCCTTAAACAGAAGTGAATTATGAACACCCTTGCAATTTCCTAAAAATGATCTGTAATTCCTTATTAAAATGAATTCATTTCAACCATGCAACTTACCAATCTGCTCAGACAAGTGGCGCACCGGTCTTGCTGGCTGAAGGGATTTGCCAATCATTTTTTTGATTTCCATGGTCTTTAAAACGTTGAGGCTCCTCACTTCAAAAAAAAGAATACAGATTAATATGAAACGTTCTGCTACAGAAATGAATACAATGTTTCTTCCTACTTCCCTACTGGAGCTTGGTACATTTGAGAAAATAGTTCTAGGCAAAAGAGGAAAGAGGGAAGGGTCATTGCATGCAAATACTTGGGGGATGGGGGGAGGGGAGAGAAAAACAAAAAAACCATAAAGTAAGGAAAGTAAGTATCCCAATGTGAAGACGCAAGGATTTGGGGGTAGGTAATCTCCTTTACTGGACAAACTGTGTCTGGGATATTTAGACAGGCATTTGAGTAGCACAGTACCTTTCCTCAGGTCTGTGCACTCCTCTCCTAGAGAAAGCTTGGCTAAATCTATCCCAAACATGTCGGTCCGCTGAAAGAGATCACCCACAAAAATCCTTGCCACTTGCATATTTCTGGCACCACCGTGGTGACATCATTTCAACACCACCTATTATATATAGAGTAATTTTGCTTGCAAGTCTTGAGATATTCCTTATCTGATGGAAGAAAATTGCAATCGCTGGGTTCAAGTATTTTTCTGATTGGCAAAGAATTCAGGCTGCAGGTTATTCATTAACATTAGCTTCTCTATTAATTGTATAATCTAAGCCTTAGACACGTTATTTTTGTAGTGCTACAAAGTTTGCAAAGCTATAAAAACAGATTATATGCTCCTTTTAACTGGAGAGCAGCATTACCACAAAGGCATGATCTAAAGCCAGGGGAAATTAGGAGGCTGTTTCTTGGCTTCCCTCCTCCCAGGGAAGCCTGTCCGTGAGTGAGGCAGGCCTGCTGACAATAGCTGATGGTAAGCCACCGGCAGCAGCAGCAAGTGCTGAGTGTGTGGCAGAGATGACTGCCACTGGAGCCCCATCCTCTGTTAGCCCCATCAGCCTTTGTTGCTGGTTGACATGCAAACCAACCCTTGCAAGGCGCACTGGCTGGGCAGGCTATCAGGGAGGCCAGCTGCTCTCCCTACTGCTTTGTGGGGGGAGTGCAGGCTGGGAAGGGAGATGGGGTAGGAAGAACATAGCATTGTGGCATACAGGCAGTCCTGGACTTACGACTTTAAGTTATGATGAACAACATTCACAACGTTTGTAAACTGACACCCTGTTTCAGGGTTCCGATGTGGGCTTCACCTTTACAACACTCAACACAGCTGCATCTAGCTGGTAATTCTGTTGTAGTAGAGGGGCCGGTAAAGGGCATGGGGAGGCAGATCAATCCCCTGCAGCAAAGGAGGGATTGCAGCTGGGGCTGGGCCCGGGGCTGGGCCCAGGGGGGCATGGGAGGGGGTAGGGCAGCTCCCACTACTGAGCACTACCAGCCTGGGAGGGCATGTAGGGGGGTGGAGGAAAGCACGTGCCCCAGATCTGCATGGAGTGGGCAGGGCCAGGGCTGCACTCCAGGCAGAAGGTGCTGGGAATGGGGGATCTGCCCTTCGGCCACTTGCCCAGCCGAGGCCAGGGGGCCCAGGATGCAGGCATGGCTTGCTCCGGGCAGGTGTGGCAGTGCTAGGAGTGGGAACTATGCCCTGCCGCCAGTTGCCCAGCCAGGGCAGGGGAGTGCAGGTGCTGTGCTGCCTCCAGAAAGCAGTATGCAGTGACAGGAGTGGCCCCAGCCTCCCTGCACCTCCCGGATTAGCCGCAGCTTTGCTCTGCCCTGCCTGGGCTGGGCCAGTGGCGGCAGCGGCAGGGACATGTGCCCTGGATCTGCACAGGGTGGCCAGGGCCAGGGCTGCACCAGGCTGAACTCCAGGCAGGCTATGGGGAATTTTAGAGTGGCTGCAGCCCCCCCCATAGTCCCCGCTCCACTACCTGCCCCACACAGATCCAAGGCACACGCCCCCACCATGCCCTGCCGCTGCTGCCACTAGCCCAGCCAGGGCGAGGTGGATAGCCCCCACTCCCAGCGCTGCCGCACCTGCCCAGAGCAAACCACACCTGCATTCCACCACATTTCCTGTGCCTAGCCCCAATCCCTCCCTTGCTGCAGGGCATTGATTTCCCCATGCCCCTTCCCTCCCCACCACAACAGACTTACCAGCTGGATGCGAGCGTGGTAAAGGAACCAACCCCCATTTGTAACATTGTTTCTATGGGAAAACTGGTTCTGAATTACAACCTTTTGACTTACAACATGGTTTTCAGGAACCAATTGTGTCCTAAGTCTGAAGACTGCCTGTACTGAGGACTGAGATCAGTATACATGTTAAATTTCACAGGGGAAAAAAAGAGATGGTTTGAAACAGCACCTTCTATAGTACATACACAATTTTTTTTACCAATTGGCTATTATGTTAGTGCTACACAGGATGGAGAAAAATCAATGATTTAAAAAAATTTTCTTTAAAAAAAATCAGATTTTTTTTATTTATAATCACATTTTTTATTTAATTGTATTTTTATTGTTTGTGTTAAGATGCTTTAAAAAATAAAACTATATATCTTAAATTAAAACTCTTTTATATTAAAGCTCAAGGATATCATCATGGAATAGGGACTATAAGTTCTAATTATATACTATTTGAGACAATACATTCCTGTAATGTTTTTAGAAAAGTTTTATAAATAGATCACAACAGCCTATGGACTATATTAGGGGCCCAATCTTATGGGGCTCCCAGAGACTCCTCTATAGATTAGTAAAGATTAAAGAAAACCACTCTAGACAACGGGAGTCAGTGCTCAGTCTAGAAGATCCCATTAAGCATTGCGGTGATGCTTACTTTCAGTTCTCAAACTGAATTTGTCTCCAGAGATAACATCCGTGTTGACAGCAATATATGATGATGAAATATAAACAGACCTGATTACCTACCCATAAGCCCCCTTGCCTCTTTGCAAGTCTGTATACAGAGTCTAGAATTTAACATGTCTAGAGTCATATATATATATATACACACACACATACATATATACACCTCTATATATATATATATATATATATATACACACACACACACACACACACACACACACACACACACACACACATATATGCTAGGCAATGAGTGGGGGGCACGTGCCCCCTGAGATTGGTTGATGCTGCCGCTGGCATCTGCAGGTGGTCCCCACTTGCCACTGCTAGACCCCCGCCACCAACATCACTGCCGCCACCTGCAGGCAGTCATCATGCCCCCCCAGCCTCAGGAAGCATGAGTCATTCATGCATTTATGTGCAGCTGCACTTCTAAAAGTGTTATATATCTCATCCAATGCACCAAATGCCCTGATGGAAAATATGTAAGAGAAATAAAACAACAACTGTGCACCAAAATGAACATACACCGAAAATCTACCAAAGGCAAGAATACCCAACTAGTTGTTGGGGCAGGACAATCACTCCCTCTCAGATCTCTCAGGTCTAATCCTCAAAAGGGAACTTACAAAACACCTTCTGTAGACAAGCCTATGAACTTCACTTTATAGATCTACTGGATACAAAAAAATCATGGACTCAATATAGACATTGGTTTTATGGCGCATTACAACCTGCCACACATCCGATTCAACAGGTACCTGCCTGACCTGACCTCTTACATTTTTCTTTTCCCCCACCTTGTCTCCCCTCCCCTACTTTTCTGCCCTTTGTCCCTCTGATTTCCTTCCTCTTTGACAGCCTTTCTTACCTTGTATTTTTACCACTGTAATGTTTCCATTTGGCTCTTTTTTCCCCCGCCTTCTTCCCCTCCCCCCGCTTTACCTTTTGTTTCTCCTTTTTCCCTATTTATATTTTCACTACATCCTCTCACACTTGTAGCTTCTCGTATTCTTGTTTTCCTAATCTCCAACTATTTTCTTTTTCACTGACAGCCTCTTTTCTAACTTGTATTCTATCACTGTTACATCTCCTTTGAGCCATTTTTCCCCTGCTCTTCCTCTTCCCCTCCCCTCTCTGCTTTACCTCTCTGCTTCTTCTTTTGTCTTTCTAATTTCTACCTACTTACATTCTCACGGACATGCTGCCACACTTCTAGCTTCTCTAATTTCTTGAAGTCTCAGAACAGCGGATACTCCCTATGCCTGAAGAAGGGTGACTGCGCCTGAAAGTTTGCTAAGAACTTTTTTCCAACTATGCAATTGGTCTAATAAAAGATCTCACATGTACTCAAAGAAACTTGCCCTCCTCCTTTTTAGAACATTTTTCTTATTTCATGGAGGACTGATGGTAATGAAACTGTTAATATAGCCTTTGTCGGAGTCTTTTAGAAACAAAAACCAAGACAGGTCAACTGCGCAAATGTCACTAATGTACTACTAGTTGGCAACATGAAAACTAGAACTAACAACTGGCAACAGGAAGTGGAAAGAAGGGCCACTCTACAG